ACGAAATGAATACTGCTGTTAAAGGCACCAAGTTTAGTATCAATATTGCTTTTTAACTTGTCAAAGACTCGATCTACAAGATCGGCGATAAGTTCTGAACCATAAGAGCTTCACCACAGGATTATTCGAATGTGCTCACCTCCAGATGTATCGCCAGCAGCTGGGTTCATATTACAAGGGTAGAAATTATCGTAAGCGTATGCGCTATCTTAAATCTGCAAACCTGGGGTGAACACTCTTGCACATGACCTCTTTATCTACTTTGTCAAATTACAAATAATTGCTCATTATTACAATGTGTAATAAATTCTCGTCAGGAAATATAAGAAAATACACTTTCATAAATATACCCTCCGACGAAAAGAGAATTTATATTCTAGGTACATGTAGGCCTGAAATAGAATTCACTGTATTTTCAGCACTTTCCGGACTGATATATCAAGGAAATATCATACAAAAGTTAAAAGAATTGTCATTTTTTTCTGAAAATGTTTCTTTTCAAGGTAGAATTGAATCTTGATTCCTGGGTAGATACATCATATGCGATAGACCGTCAAACAAAGAATCTTTCTCCCTTTCCTTTCTATCCTATTCTTTGGAGCGTTCTTATATTAAAGCGGAGAACTAGAATCTATACTTGAAGAAATTACCAAAGTATTGTGCGAACATAGTGTAGTTCACCGCGGTTAAATTGAAAAGAGTTTACTCGCGTCCGTTACACACTTAACTCGTAATCAAAAAAAGAACTGCATATCTTAGAATAAATTAAATACATGCGATATATATGCATGCAAATCCGTAGGTCCTGAGTGTATTACAAGTGGTTGCTTACTGTTGCTCGCGGATCGTGATTACTTTATCGAGAATTACGATCTAGACTTGTCTTTTATTCCAAAAAGGATCATGATTACACGGTGTCTTATCCTGGACTAAAACTCTAACTATAATTTTCTATCTAAAAAGCACTAACTAAACACGGAGACGTCAATCTAACCAAACTATCAAGAGACCAAACAGCGATAAGTAAAGTAACCAGATCATTCGGCTTAAATGAAAACCCCGAAAACTTCT